ATGTTTTTAAGAGCTTGTGGAGCAATCAAAACTAAGGCAGTAGTTTCGGTGCGTACAGAAGAAAATTAAGTTGCAATTATTGAAATTACTATTTTATTACAATCTGTATTACAAAATAAATAATGACGTTTGATTATATGATATGCATTGATTTCGGTTGGTCAGTTCCAATCTTACACATATTGAGATTTAATGAAAAAAGACAAAATTTTAGTACTAAACTTTATGATTAACTTTTTAATGATGTACTAAACTTTATGATTAACTTTTTAATGATGTACTAAACTTTATGATTAACTTTTTAATGATGTACTAAACTTTATGATTAACTTTTTAATGATGTACTAAACTTTATGATTAACTTTTTAATGATGTACTAAACTTTATGATTAACTTTTTAATGATGTACTAAACTTTATGATTAACTTTTTAATGATGTACTAAATTTTAATGAACTAAACAAGCTCTGAGTTGGTAGTTACCGGATTTGAACTCGTAACGCACAAGAGTCCAAGTTTTAACTTTTCGTTTGACGCTCCTTAGTATTTCGTTTTATACAAGCTAGGTGGACCAAAATCAGTTCAAGAAATCGACTAATTTAAAATATTTTCACAATTACTGTCCGGCATTGGTAATAATTTGCAGTGTTAATTACAAAAAACATTCCAGAGAATTTAGTAATAAGCAATTAAAAAGACTTTAAAATATAATTTCATTTTTAAAAAAATTTAGTCAAAAACTGACAGCGTTTGTGAAACTATTTAACAAAATTTTAAGAAAGAAATCATTTTATTGCAGTGATAGATTTTACTGCAGTGATAGATTATAGTGTTTAGTACTACTTAATTACATTAAATATTTTATTTAAAAGAGAATCAATTTATAATAGAATATGGTTTGAAAAACTGCGTTAAAGTTGTAAAAAATTTTTTTATTTTTAATTTTTCAACTTATACAACTGTTTGTATCCACATGTATCCAAGCTAATTTTTTAAAAGTGTATAGCTAAAGTCCTAAGGTGTATAACGATGTAAAATTTTTTACCACGTCAATCCACATTTTTTTAGAAATTTAATTATTTTCAGATCACGTGCGCTCTTTTTTAAAAATGGAGTTATTTAAAATGTGGCGGAAACATAATCAAGGAGAAAGAAATATTCGTTTATTAAATTTTATTTTACAAAAAATAAAATCCAATAAACGGATTTTGCCAACATATTATTTGGCAAAATCCGCGACTTTCATCCACAATTTTTTGCCGACCATATAAGTTTATTTTGCTGACCATATAAGTTTATTTTTTCAAAAGAAACAAATGTATTTACTACAACAGAAAGAAAGTTTTAAAATCTCAACTTATTCAAACATTTATAAGATTCGGTGAATCTCAAATTGCTGTTAAACATGACCTAATACTCTCAATGATAGATGGAAAAGTTTTTAATGCCTTGACTGACACAAGAATTAACAAAAATGTTATATATGTGGTGCAACTCCAAAAATGATGAACGGTGAACTAAAAGACTTAATTGTAAAAAAAAATATTATGGTTTTGGTCTGTCTACTTTGCATGCGTGGATTCGCTTTCTTGAGTGCATATTGCACATTAGCTGTCGTTTAGGTAAAAAAAAAGGGGCAAGCTAAAAGCTCAAAACTCTTTATCTTAATCTATACCCGTGGTACTATATGCCTGTTACTGTGCACAAAATACTTGTACATAGCACGGAAGTTATAAAAACATATCTTCTTTCAATCAGACAGCTATTGGAAGAGTCTCAAGAAGCCCACATTAAAGATTTTCTTCGATTCCACGAACATCATAGAAGAAAAAACTCACGTATTTCCACAAATATAGATTTGCTTAATATTTTTTTGGTAACATCAGAATCTGTCATCAACTCATACAGAGAATTTTTAAGAAAAAAAACGAATAAATTGCCGTTAGAAGTTTTGAATTTAATAGTCCCACCTGTTGTACCACACAGCTGGTTGGAAATACAATTCTGTGTGGCGATGAAGATTATTTAGGATGATAGTTGTTAAGAATTTTTTTTATTTTACGTAATCAGCTGGATTATAGTATATATATATATATATATATATATATATATATATATATATATATATATATATATATATATATATATATATATATATATATATATATATATATATATATATTTTTACCAAAATTTTATAACATAATTTATGTGTTGAAATAAAGTATTTATTTTCATTACCTAAATAACTTTATTCATTACTAAAATTTAAAAATTCTTATAACTATAAATATAAATTAGCATGATTTTTATATCATATTATGTCCAAACAAGAGCTTTAGATGTTATAATTTTTTTTTGCTTCAGGTTTTTTTAATATTTGAAGAAACTTTTCTTTATTTTATACAATTTTCAAAACCTTTTTACTACCCCTAATAGTAAATCTAAAGAACACCATTTTGGAGTCTTTAGATCAATTTCGCTCATCGGTGTTAACACGAACTTAGTTAAAATCTTTTGAAAAAGTGCCTTTACTCAGTATAGATCCTAGTTCTAATTGGTTCTAACGTATATTAACTATATATAGTTGTCAAAATACAATATTTCTATCAACATTCACAAAAAATACTAGAATTCTGACCAATAAAGAACTTATAATTAAGAAAAACTACCAATAAACAATCAGAACAGATCATATAACTATCAGAACACATAATAAACAATCAGAACAGATCATTAACTAGGATGTTCATTTCACTGAAAAAACGTGTTTATTTAAAATCTTATTCAAATTGGAACAAGCGGTTGTGATTTAAAAAATAATAATAATAATAATTTTTGGGCTTGGTTTTTTCGCTACAAACATTTATATTTTATGATACCGCAAAATTTATCATTTTAATTTTTTTCGTTTTTTCATAATTCACAGACCTGATGATTTAACGGAAATATGTCGTAGTCAACTAAATATCATACAGACGCTATAATATTTTAAAATTGCCTTAACTACACCGGCGTGTAACTTAAGTAGTAAAACGATTTTGTCTTTATTATTTATCCATCAGTAAAAATTGTTCCTTTGCAAGAAACTCATATCGTGAGTAAACATGTTCCCATTTTTTTTTGGACATTACATACACATTCTTAATTCTGTTAATCCAGAGGAGTTGTTTTTAATAACATCAAGAAAAGTTTTACTGTTTCCATAAGTCAGATAAAATAAATATCTAAAATTTCTTGTAGTAATAGATTTTCGAAAGAGTTTTAGTGTACCAGCGAACTCCATCAGACAAGAACTTCCTTTATAATTAAAAGCACAAGTATAGTCTGTTTTACAATAGAACAAAAGATAACATAATATATGTGGAGTTACAACATTACTTTTACAACATAAGATATGTGCAGTATATCATTTATGACATCGTAACACTTTAAAGACATTAATTGAAGTACTTTTATGGCTCTAACGTTAGATATCTAAATAACCTATTCCAATTTCAATGTTAAAACAGAGAGATATTTAATATCATATCCCTAACTACCATAGTTTGTAATTTGAAACTTTGAGCTATAAAACTCATTCTTCCGTTCACATATACAGAAAAAAAAATTTAAATATGATTCCATTCAGGGCCGGCGCGAGTAGGTGTCACATGAGGGGGGTGCCATTACAACTTTTGCCGACTAAAAAAAAAAAGAAAAAAAAAAGTCCTCGTTTTTGAAAATTTACCGACTGCAATGACGACATTTGCCGACTTACTGTCTAAATTTACCAAGTAATCTGTTGACAGGGTCTACATTTGCCGACTAACTAGTCAAAAAGGGTCAAATTTGCCGACTAAAAATTATTGATAGGGGGGTATCAGACCCCTCTATCCCGCCGGCCTTGATTCCATTTTTGTATATCGTATTAAACTTAATTTTTCAAAACACATGGGACGCAAACCAGTTTTTATAAATGTCTGTGAAGTTTTTTTTTGTTTGTTAATCATTTTAGGTGCTCCAATAGCATTTAACTAGAAAGTTCATGCCTCCTTTCTTAAAAATGATGAATATATGGCTAAAGCCAGCTTGGCAGCACAGACCTTTAGTTATGAAGCCAGAACTCCAACCACTATACCACGGCTGCTAAAAAATAAAGTACTAATACTTATAAAAGTACCTAACGCCGTTAAATTAGTCTTAGAAAAAAAGTAACATTCAGTATCTGCACTGCAATTTGCAATAAATTCTTATGAAGATATACTCATTTCGTTTAGTTCTTTTGTTAAAGTTTATATACAGATTTTAATGCTAAATTGGAGTAATTTACCTTTTTAAATCTAAACTTCTCAAGTTATGTACGTTCTTATTTCATAAAAATACCTAACACCTTATATATTATAAAATACAAATTTTCAACATATTTTATATGATTTTGAAAGCTAACTTAATCCTCTTCAAATTAGTGCAAAAAAGATTAGATTTTATTTGAAGCAGTAGCCTCCGCTATTAAATTAAATCATTTTGATGCTTTGTAATTACTTTTCTGAACGTTCGATGTCGTTTATTAAAAAGCCTAAGTTTTACCTAAACCTCTTAATGTGCGACAAAAGGTTAAAGGTCTTTAAACTATAAGGAAAGTAATATATCCTTTAAGATGCTTTAAAACATTTTTGTTAATTAAATTTTATTTTACAGGCGGTCTTTTTTCGCTCAACATTCTAATCTAAAATAAGGATTTTTTTCTACACAAGGTACACGAAAGACTTGTGAAAATTTAAAGCAGATTTTTTTTACGGCAATACCCAATCATTTTTTAAAGGATGCTAGCCACTCTCAGTCCCTGCTTTAGTTACGTTTTTGAGAATTGCAGCAAAATATTTTAAGGTTTCACACTTTGAGAACTCTTAATTATCAACTATATAACTGTCGTTTATCAAAAAAATCATTTTGTCTTTTTTTATCCTATTTACTTTAACTAATTTTTTAGAATTTTTGTTATATTTATTTAGCATTATAGATTTTTTAGAATTTATGTTTATTCAGCATTATAGATTTTTTAGATTTGGCTGATTATGTCCATCGTGATTGTTGAGAAAATGACGAGCAATATTACCAATTACTAAAAACAAATTATATTAATTTCAATAAATTAAATATAGGATAATGTAAACTACTTAATGTAATTTTTTAAACTTACATAACGAATGGTACTATGTCGCATATCGCCTTGTCCAGTCACGAGCTAGTGAATCATGCTCCTCGCGGTTCGTAAGAAATTGATGAGCAATATTACCAACTAATGGATCAGCTAAAATATATTTTAATCTTTAGTAAGTTTAATTTATTCAAAATAAAAACAAAAGATACCAGCTACTTATTTTAATGATAACAAAACTTTTGTAAACTGAGTAAATTAATTAATAAGACTGAAATTTACATGGATTAATTTTCAATTATATTCTCTCAACTAAGATAATAAGCAACAACTTTAAACTAAAATTATTGGATTGTGATTTGTCAAACAATCAATTTCAAAAAAATTAATAACCTGGATTGCATTCCGTCAAAAGAGCAATGACAGATAGTAAAATTTTTGAAACAGTAAAAGCTGGACTCCAGTTGTCTTTTAAAACATCCAAGCATATTTGACCCTAAAATACAAAATAGAGTTTTATTTACCAAACTTAATAAGCCGGTATATCGACTATTTAACTTAAAACTAGAATATGAAAAATAAACGTATGTAACTAACGCAGAAAAAGTCATCTAGCACATGCCACAAAAAATGATCCTACAAAAATTAGACCTTTATGTTTTTTGCTTTGTACAACTTATCCTTATTCTACCTAATTATTGTTAAATCAAACCAAATCTAGATAAACGTTAAATAAATTAAAATCTTCATTAACGTTAATGAGCCGGGTGCTTTTTGAATTGAATTTTATCAATTTTTTATTAAATCAAAAAAATACGCATTTGCAAAGTGCGCGCAAATTAATGATGGCTAATATACAATAACCTTGCAACTGCAAACTGTTATCCATTAATACAAAATTGTGAATTTTTTTCAATTTAGTTGGTTAAATTTATTTATAAAAAAAAACGTATAAACCTGATGTTTTGACATTTCTTTTTTCAAAATATACCCTATGCGCGCATCACTGGTGATTTAGTACTGATCAACGGTGATTGAGTGTTGATCACAGTGATCGCCACTCAATCACCACTAATACATTATTCATTTATACGTAAAAGTCAAACTTTCCGATGTGCTTATCAGTCACTACTAAATACGCATTGAATCACCACTTACACAAACTCTAGAATTTATGTGTGTAGTGATTCAATGCTTATTTAGTAGTGACTGTTTCGTGTTATCATAACAGGAAGTTGTACTAATTTGTCTTAAACAAATATGGTAGATCACAAGCACTATATGAAAAATTACATGAGAGATAATAGAAGTTTTAAAAAATTATTTAAAGAAAAAGAAGGTAAAGAAGAAGGTAAAGAAGAAGGTAAAGAAGAAGAGGGTAAAGAAGAGGAGGGTAAAGAAGAGGAGGGTAGAGAAGAGGAGGATAGAGAAGAGGAAGGTAAAGAAGACGACAAAGAAGAAGAAAGTAAAGAAGACGAAGAAGAATGTAATAAAAACGTTGATACAGGAGAAAATGCGGTTTCTCAATCTGTAAAGACTCAAAATTTTCTTCATAAATGGGCAGTTGAAAATGAGCTTTTGACACATTTAAACTCTTTCATGAAAGACATTCCTAAAAGTGGAACATCTTTAAAACATACTTTAAGAAGTGTGGATGTTGTTTTAGAAGTTATAGATGTAGTTTAAGAAATTTGGATGTTGAAAAAGTTGCTGGAGGTGATTTTGTTTATATTACTTTAAAAAGTGCACTTACCAATTATGTAAAATGCTTCAGAAAGCCAACAGAGTTTAATCTTATTGTAAATGTTGATGGCACTTGAATATACAATAGTAAAAAAACAAAACAAATGTGGCCTATATTGTGTACTGTAAACCAACAAGGTCCATATACAATTGCTTTATGGTATGACGAAGGAAAACCTACAATTCTTAGAGAATATCTTAAAAAATTTGTTGCGGAAATAAAATTCTTTTTTATAAATGGGTATGTGGGCTTAAAGGTGATGATTAAAGCATTTGTATGTGATGCATCAGCAAGGGCATTTTTAAAATGTATAAAAGGACATAGTGGATATGACAGCTGTGAAAGATGCAAAGAACAAGGTGAATATCATAAAGGCACAAGATTATTAGGCACTAAATCTTTATTACAAGATGATAAAAAATTTAAAGAAAATTTTTATTTAAAACACCAGATTGGCAAATCACCATTATCCAAAATTGAAATTCCAATGGTGACGGGATTTGTTCTTGACTACATGCATTTAGTATGTTTAGGCATTACAAAAAAGCTTATGAAAAATTATATTAACAATATAGGTTCTTCTGTACACAGAAAAATTTCATCAGAACTGCTTGAAATACGAAAATGCACACCATCAGATTTTCAAGGTTGGCCAAGAAGTTTAGATGAGTTTCCTGATTTTAAAGCAACTAAATTTCGATTTTTTTAATTATATGCAGGAATTATCGTTATGAAAGACAAAATATCGCCTGATGAGTATAAACTTTTATTGGGTTTATCAGTTGCAATGTACATTCTTTTATCTGAGACAATGGTTAAAGATAACTCAATGGTTTATTATGCTAAGGACTTATTAGAATGGTTTTCAAAAAAATCAATTGTTTTTTACGGACTATTGTTTGCATCATATAACGTGCATAGTGTAATTCATTTAGCTGATGATGTAATAAACCACCAAGTTTCCTTAAATAAAATATCAGCATTTCCTTTTGAAAATTACCTCGGAAAAATGAAAAGAAAAATTCATAGTGGTACATATACTGTTGCTCAAGTTTTAAAAGGCTTGATGAACATAGTAAAATAATACATCTATTACCAACAAAAAGATCTTTAATACAAATTTTAGAAATAGAGTTTTTTGTTGTAGTTTTGTTTTAATATATATATATATATATATATATATATATATATATATATATATATATATATATATATATATATATATATATATATATATATATATATATATATATATATATATATATATATATACATATATATACATATACAGTGGTGGTCGATGACAATAAACTTTGGTGGGGCCAGGAAAAATTAACTGAAAAATATCTCAATGACTCGCTGTCTTTGATGCTTTGGTCTTTGTTAAAAAGTGTTTGGTCGGTAGCGTTTTTTGATTAGTTGAGAGAGTTAAGTGCTAGCATACTCCTTAAATAAAGCATAATTATTTAATGGCATTAATCTTTTAAACCTACGTAAAAACTAGCAAAAACTTACTGAAAACTTATAGTGCTGCATTATGATTGGAACAGATTTTAGTATTATTTCTGTTTAACTTTTTTTTAATTTTAATTTTATGGAAGAAACTTTTAGTGAGTTAAAAGCACGTCATAAATATAAAAAATTAGTGAACACAAAAGTATATCTTCAAATGAAGAATGGTGTTAAAAACAAAGATTTAAGCATATTCAGTATATTTTTAAAACTAGTGATATATTTACGTATGATACGCTTCTTTTCTTCTCGGGCCAGTTCAATAAGGCCCTGCGGTGAGTTTTTTCGTCACATCTGAAAGCACAATAAGTTCTGCGCGCGCATCAAAAGTTATTATACCGTACACAAATTAAATAGGGCCAGTTAAAATAGGCCCAGCCGTTAACGGCTTTTTAACTTTCATTGCGGCAATGAAATAAAATAACGCTACAATACTTTAAATAAATTGTAAATTAACAGAATTTAAAATTAGAACCCATTTAGAACTATTTATTTTTATAAAACCTGTTTGAATATATATATATATATATATATATATATATATATATATATATATATATATATATATATATATATATATATATATATATATATATATATATATACACACTGAGGCATATTCATTTAAACGCATCAATTTTTTTCTCTTTATCTTAATTTTTTTCTATGCATTATCTCTTTATCTTAATTTTTTTCTATGCATCAACTGATATGCATGCAAGTTATTATTAAAATAATTGTTGTGTTGTGGGCTAATAAAAATCACCAAAAAAATTTTTCTATGTGTCTTTATTAACATGAGAGTATTTTGATATACACAAGTACATTCTTTAATTGGAGTCTACTATAGACGCAGTCATATTTTTGACATTAAAAGATGGAAATTAGTAATGCATATGTCCTCATTACACTGGATCACCTCAAAAATTCTGCCTTTCATTGACTCCACTAGTCTTTGAAGTGTAGTTTGATTTAACTCGGACCATGTTTTAAGGATTTTACACTTTAACTCAGTAACAGTTTTAAATTGGTTTCCGGCTGCTTTATCGTCATAAACTTTTCTTGCTAGCATTCCCCACATGTTCTCAATTGGATTTAAGTCCGGGCTACAAGCTGGCCATTCGAGAACCGAAATGTTGTGGTTTTTAAACCATTTCATAGAATGCCTAGATGTGTGAATTGCAGCAATATTTTGCTGAAATATGGCACTATCTTCCATGTCTTCATCCATTTAAGTTATGAGAACATCATCCAACATTTCTGTATACTTTATCGAGTTCATTTTAGGTAAACCACAACACAGAGTCAATTTTCCTGAATAAGAAAATCCACCCCAAACCATTAAACTTCCTCCACCATAATTTTACTTTGTTTGTTGGTCATTTACTCTTTTTAGATCATGCCAATAACAACTGTAAGAGTCCGGACCATCTAAATTGAACTTTTTTTCATCTGAAAAAATTACGTTTTGCCACTCATGAGTCCAATGCATATGGTTTTTAGCAAACTGTAATCTAGCAATTTTATAGTGTTTTTTTAACATTTTTGGTGTGGTTTCTTCCACTTTACGTTTCGTGTTGTACGTAGAATATGTGCAACATGTTTATTGGTGACAGGCAATAATAATTTATCCTTTATTTATGTTGCATTCAATTTATTTTTGTTTGCTTTGAAGCAAATTCGATTAATTTGCCAATTTGTTAATACTTTGTTGCCATTTGTTGTTTTTTTTACACCGTAATTGTCACCTTTTGCAATGTAGTTTCGTACAACATGGTCAGATCTTCCAATTTTTCTTGCTATTTCTCGTATAGAAAGTGCTGGTAAGATTTCTGTGACACAATATAAATTAATTTGTATTTTTTCAGCATCTGTCAAATACTTTCCTTTAGGCATTTTGTAAAATGCGATAAAAATGATATTGGCAGAGCAAAAGATCAAATTACACTAAAATTTATCAATTTATTTGTGTAAAAGTGATTAAAAATCAATAATTACTGTTAATAACCTGATTGCGTCTATAGATATATTCCAATTAAAAAATGTGCTTTTGTATATCAAACATACTCTCATGTTAATAAACACACATAGAAAAAATTTTGTTGTTGTTTTTATTAGCCCACAACACAACAATTATTTTGATAAAAACTTGCATGCATATCAGTTGACAATTCATAGAAAAAAATTAAGATAAAGAGAAAAAAATTGATGCGTCTAAACGAATATGCCTCAGTGTGTGT